GGTGTTCACAGATGAAGCTTTTGTCCTTGTTCCTTGTTCTCTTCCAGAGGCGGCTGTGGCTGAGTGGTTAGAGCAGTCGTCCTCCAATGCGAGAGTTGGGGGTTTGACTCCACCAGCAGTCACATGCTGAAGTGTCTCAGGGCAAGACACTGAACCCCTCATTGCCTCTGATGTGTGTCCCATCAGTGTATGAATGTAATCTAAAGCACTGATTAGTCTCTTTAGAATGATTTGTTCAATTAGCTTTGTAGAGCTCTATCAGAGTGTTATATATATGGGTAAATGAGGAAACAGATTGTAATGTAAAGCGCCTTGAGTATCTTGAAATAAGATAGAAAGGTGCTATATATTTACCATTTACCATTCCACCTGTGCCCTGTTCTTACCACAGATCTCAATGTCATCTGCAAACATCATAGATGATTGGGATTAATGCCTGACCTCATCTGTTAGTCGGTCCATCAACAGAGCAAACAAGAAGTGGCTCAGAGCCGATCCTTGATGCACTCCCACCTCCACCTTGAAGCTATCTGTCACTCCTACAGCACATCTCACCACTGTCCTGCTGTCCTCGTACATGTCCTGTACCAGTCTAATATACTTCTCAGTCACTCCAAATTTTCTCATGCAATACCGCACCTCCTCCCTCGGGACCCTGTCATTTGCTTTTTCTAAATTCATAAAAATACAATGGAGTTCTTTCTGACCCTCTCTGTACTTCTCCATCAGCATCCTCTAAGCAAAGATGGTGTCAGTGGTGCTCTTTCTTGACATGAAGCCATACTTCTGTTCACAAATTGTTACCTCTCGTCTAAGTCTAGCTTCCAAAACTCTCTCCCAGATCTTCATTGTGTGGCTCATCAACTTAATTCCCCTGTAGTTGCTACAACTCTGTACATCACCATTGTTCCTAAAAATGGGCACCAGCACACTTCTTCTCCATTCCTCAGGCATTTTCTCACCCTCAAATAATTAATAGTTGAGTCAAAAACCTCACTGCCAAGACATTTCCAAACCTCCACTGGTATGTCATCAGGTCACACTGCCTTCCCCTTCATTCTTTTCAGATCTTTCTGGACTTCACCCTCACTAATTTTTCCCACTTCAAGTTTCTATGACCTCTATTCTTCTTTCTTTTTCATTCTCTTCATTCATTAGATCCTCAAAATTACTTCTTTCATCTTTCCATCACACTCTCCTCACTTGTTAGAACATTATCATTCCTAACTTTAACAAGGCTAACCTGCTGCACATCCTTTCCAGCCTGATTCATCTGTCTCGCCAATCGGTACAAGTCCTTCTCGCCCTCTTTGCTGTCCAGTCTCCCATTCAACCCGTCATACACCTTCTGCTTTGCCTTTGCTACCTCCCTCTACATCCCATCTCCTTATATTCCTGTCGCCTCTCTTCAGACCTCTCACTGTCATATTTCTTCTTGGCTAACCTCTTTTTTTGAACAGCTTCCTGCACTTCAGTATTCCACCACCAGGTTTCATTATCATCCATTATATGTCCACATGACACACCAAGTACCTTCCTACCTGACTCTCTAATTACTGTTGCTGTAGTAGCGCAGTCATTTGGAAGCTCTTTCTAAACAGCCAGAGCCTTTAACAGCTCCTTTCTGAACCCTGCTCCAATGCTACAAGCCTTGCTGCCCTTCCACTTGGTCTCTTGAACACATAAAACAGCTACCTTCCTTCTCTGCATCATGTCAGCTAGCTCTCTGCCATTTATTGCATTTATGGTTCAATATCATAAAACAAACAAATATAAAAGGTAATAGATAATTGTAATGCAATAGTCCCTTGTTTATCGCGGGTACTCGGTACCCTGCCCCCCACGATAAGTGAAAAACTGTGAAGTAGAGATACAGTAGTCTAACTTCAAGTTTAATTTCAAGTACAGTAAACTTTGTCATGACATGTGCCAGGCTGCAATCACACTCACTCATCACGTGTTACTCCCAATGTCCCTCCTTAAATAAACAATTTAAATTTAAATACTGTAACATTTTAAATAAACAATCCATGGATAGTTTATTTAAAATATTACAGTACATATTTAAATTGTAGAGAAGTGCAGCAGGACATCAAAGTGTTAACCCTTCATGCAGCTGATGCAGCACAGAGCAGAAATGTACATCTTGATCAATTACACTTCAACAACTGAACAAAGAAGTTCTAACATAATTAAAAATAACTTTTAACACTTTTATATTTTGTGATTATGATGATTTTACGATGTGACATACTTTGAATTTTAAGTTGGAAGACAAAAGTCGATCGCTGCAGCTGGACAGCAAAGGGTTAACCCTTCACAAAGCGGATGCAGCTGGAGAAACATGTGCGTGGCAGAGTGGAGATCATGACAGGCTGCAGGAGGGAGCTTCCCCCTGCACTTGTGGGCTGCACACATGGTGCAAAATCATTTAAAATAATTTATTTTAAATAAACAATCCATGGCTCATCCATCCAAACATCCATTATCTTTTCCGCTTCTTCCATTTTTGGGTCACGGGGGTCACCGGTGCCCATGTCCAGCAATCACTGTGCGAGGGGCGGGGTACACCCTGGATAGGTTGCAAGTCCATCACAGAGACAAACAACCATTCACTCTCTCACTCACACCTAGGGACAATTTAGAGTTACCAATCAGTCTAACATGCATGATTTTGGTCTGTGAGAGGAAACCAGAGCACCCGGAGAAAACTCACGCATGCACGGAGAGAACATGCAAACTCCACCCAGAAAGGCCTCTGGACCGGGATTTGAACCGGGGACCTGCTCGTTGAGAGGCAACAGCTCTACCAGTTGTGCCACTGTGCTGCCCCGGCTCATCCTTCAGTCAGCCAATGTGTCATGTCCAATCTTGCTTTGAAAAATCAGTCCATGATATATCCATGAATCCATGAAAAATGGACCGCGAAGAAGCGAGGGTCTACTGTACTTGGTTTATTTACATAATGACTTTAACTGCTGGATGTCCAGCCCCTGAGACGCTGGCTTTAAGAAACTGTGGCCCCCGATCAGTTTTATTGAATAGCCCTGGCTTAGATGAACTCGCATGTTAGTTTTGGTGAAAGCATTTTACACTGGATGCCCTTCCTGACACAAACATTACCATTTACCCAGGCTTGAGACCAGCACAAGTGATACACTGGCTTGTGCTCCCTGGTTTACACAAACAATTTTAGAATAAATAATTTTAAAATACAATTCCACCATTCATTATCTTTTGCCTGCTTCTTCCTTTTCGGGTCACGGGGACCACTGGTGTCCATATCCAGCAGTCACTGTTCAAGAGGTGGGGGACATCTCCAATCCATCACAGGGACACATAGAGACAAACAATCATTCACTCTCTCACTCACACCTGGAGACAATTTAGAGTTACCAATCAGTCTAACATGCATGTTTTTGTCTGTGGGAGTACCTGGTGAAAACCCACACAGAGAGAACATGCAAACCAAACTCCACGGCACCCAGAAAGGTCCTTGGCTGGGATTTGATCAAGCGACCTTTTAACAATAAAATAAAATAAACAACTGTGATGGACTTGCGACCCGTCCAGGGTGTACCCTGCCCCTCGCACAGTGATTGCTGGACATGGGCACCGGCGACCCCCATGTCCCAAAATGGAAGAAGCGGGTAAAAGATAATGGATGGATAAAATAAACATGCGATAAACTACACATATTTTGGCCAGTTAAACATTATTTGTGGTTTGTTTGATGTTGCCATTATCAGCACATATATCAATGTAATAAATATACTGTACAGTACTGTACTTCTATAGAAATGAATAGAAATAGTGTTACCTTCACAGACAGTCCGTGATTAGGTCTATTGCTTGATATTTTTAGCTGTTGTAAATAACTGTTAGGGTTTTTTTCCTCCATACTGTTGGATATTTTTAGGGATATTTCTCCTAAATACTTAACCAAACACTGGCTTTTAAAAGAGGCAAACGAAACCGCCAACATCCTGGTCCTTGTGGCTCCAGCACTGTGGGAGCTGGGATGTCCGTGGTTGCCGTGAAGGCAGCATTTAGCTTTAATCCGTCTCCTCGGGAACAGAGGGGCTGCTCTCAGAGCGCTTCCGGAGGCAGATAATCTGCGGCCAAGAAGGGACAACTACCACGCACCTACGGGGAGAAACACCTTCTAGAAGCGCGTGTCATCCTTAACAGAAGCTCGGACGAGCGGAAAAGATGGATAATCGCGCTCTCTTTTGCGCTTTCGTGCGTGTGTGATTTGCTACGTTTGACACCAAAATAAACGGTCGGTGTGACGTGACAGCTGTCCGGTGTCATCGACGGCGCGGGGAGGAAACTACACCAACAGCTCGTGATATTTATCATCTGAGCGCCGCGGTGATGGCGGTGACAGCCGCTCTGGTTCTAGCTTGTCTCTCCGCGGCTCTGTGGAGGACCAGCGGCGAGCTGCTAACTTCTCCATCAGAGAGCGCGCGGCTCAACTCCACGTCCAGCGGCGGCGTCGGGGGGTCGAGGAACGACACGGCCGCCGCCGCCCGGATCTCCCCCCTGATGGCGCATCTGCCGGCCCTGAAAAACATAGTTATCTTTATCTTCGTGCTGACCGCCGCTCTCATCACCTGCCTGGTCATTAAAGTGGTCAGGTACGGATCTGAGCCGCACGAGCCTCTCTAATCTATTAATGGGTTTGTTTTGGCGCATGCGTAGTTTGGAGAAAGGAAAATTAAGCCTCCATTTTTGACCAGATTAAGATTGTTTATGTGACTATAACACGAATGTCCGTTATAGTCACTTTTTATTTTTGCTGCTGCTAATTTTGGTAGATTTGTTTGTTATTTTTCTTTTCAAAATCTCACTTGGAACCACTTCAGTCCTTAAAATATGAAGATAAACCCACAAAAGTTTGTTTTCCTTGATATTTTTGTCGTTTTTGCCCTTGTCTCTCTCTCTCTGCTTGTGTGTCATCTGTTAGCAAAATATCACGAACCACTGGACAGTTTAGCATATTTCTTAGTTCATATCTTAGATCTTATTACTGTTTTTCTTCACAATTTATACTTTTGTTGGATGTAACTGGGACCCTGTGTACACAATTTTGTTCCACCACATGTACCACATGAGGTATGAACGACATATAAAGAAACTTTGACAAAGTTTGATGAAATTTTGCAACAAGTAATCATTGGATGTGCATTTAAAACTGACTAGCTTTTGGAATCAGATGGATTCAAGATGGCCACCACAGCCAGCAGACTTAAAAAGACAAAGTCAGTTCTACTGATAATGAGCTGGAATTTGGCGTGGTAGTAGCTGAGAGTCAATAAGAACACGTAAGCTGAGCGTGATGTCTCAGAGATCACACGTCACGTCATTCTCACAGTCTGCCCACTAACTTTGTAATAAAACGCCTTCACAATTCAGATTTTATGGGCTGAATCTATTACATGCATTTTTGTTTGAAGCTTGAATTATTTTCTCGTGTTTTTGTTCCCTCAGATCTGGCAGGAGAATCAGGAAAACTCGAAAATACGACATCATAACTACCCCGGCCGAGCGCGTTGAGATGGCCCCTCTTAATGAGGAAAACGACGATGAGGACGATTCAACCCTCTTTGACGTCAAATACAGGTTGGTTTGTTTTACAGTAGACTGCAACGCAACTTATTTAGGATGTATTTGTTTTATTTTGCTCTCTAAAGCCATTATTATATGTATTTGTAGTTAATTCTGGCTACACCAATTTTTTTTTTTGGAATTGCATCATAAAACAGGATTTGGTTACATGTAAAGCAACTTGTACATTGCTTTGAATACAACTCGATAATAGACTGATAAAAGCAGCTGTTCCTGCAGCTCTCCTAAAAATGGGTCTAAAAGGGTATTAGCAAATAATATCTTACTAGATAGCTTTTAGAATATACTTGGTTTAGAGAAATAAAGTTTAATTCTGACCCAACCCACAAGCTAATTAATCCAAGCAGAGCCAAAATCAAAGTACATTGTTGTCATCTGAAATTTAATCTGACAAGTTTCAAAGCAGGTCATGTGAACAGTAAATTTATTCTGGCATTAATATAATATTCCTGCTGGACATGATCTACACTTCACTGGAAGTACTCCTAATAACTGCACTAATACATGTACTGTACTAATAATTATACTAATACATGCACTAACTGTGCTAATAATTATACTAATACATGTACTAACTG